AAAAAGCAGCACTCAGACTTATCATCTATGTTCTGAGCCGTGAAAAAAATCTGAAATTCATAGTTATTAAATTTATCAGTTTCATATTTATTTCTCTTTCATAAGCTTTTCTCACAATGATAAATTCAGTCGCATTCAATGTTCTAGTTATTAAGGGATTAATCAGAGATTAATAAATAATTATGTATGCTTACTTTCAATTGATTTGTAAAGTGTGAAATTGATTCTGTCGATTTTACAAAAATTTTTGTCAACAGAAAAAGGATTAAAATCGTAATTATCAACTGTACAATTTAATTTGTCTTGAAAATATTTTAAATTAACGTTTGCGATTACTTATTTGGACAATAAATTTCAATTTGATTGCATTAAAGCATTTAGCAAATGCTATTCGAATTAAACTATGCAAGTAAATTTGGAAATAAAAATTGAAACGAAGTACTTAAAATGCTTATTTCAATTTAAATCAAATATCCAAACCTACCATTCCATAAATTGTACTCGTAAATTCACCGTTTTTTATGGGAACAAAAGGCATTTCAATCGAAAAATTCACGATAAGTAATAAGTATACTGCTGACTGAGACTTATCTGCGTAGTTACGATTACGTTACCTTAGTAACAATGCAATATTATATACATACTATGAAATCCGATATATCTCACTAATATCTTGTAGTGATTATCAAAGTATTAAGCAAATGCTGTACGAAAGTTACTCTGGAAATATAAATTAAAATAGAATAATTGAGGTAGATAAGAAAGTGATTCCACAACTATACAGCAATTTCGAGAATAAGTTTCAAATCATATTCTTTCATTTTTTTTTGAGACAAAGAAATGACCTGAATTTGATCTCAATGATGACTTTTGTAAAACAAAAAAGCATACACTGAACTTCCCCAACAGTCATTCGGTAATACAGTAAAATCAATCCAAACTTTAGCACAGCTATTCCTCCTCAATTTTAAGATGAAAAGTACATATTAGTTGAAATAATTATACAATTTTCCCAGAAGATATTAGTTTATCACATAACTGCTCTTTCATCAATAAGTTCACCACTTCGAATCTCAGTTAAGTTGAAAATGGATATTCAAATATCCCAATCTGAGCTATTTCCTTTAAACAACTTCGTACATAATATTTTAAGCAAATATTTGTTTGCCACTTCCTTGTTCTTCAAGCGATTTACACGGTCAGAATGAAAGGATGTTTCTCTTCACATAACATGGCTGCCTGATCTTGGAATTATAAAAATCTTTATCCTTTTGAGCTCAAGAGGTAAAACTAGACATGTTATTCATAGCAAAATCAAACGTGATCAAAATGGAAAAAAGCTGACTAATTATATACATGAAGTTGAAATATATAAAATTTTTTCAAGATGTTGATTTAAATAATTTGTCTCATGTAGGGAATGAGGCAGAAACTTAAACAAATTTTGCGATATCCATAAAATATATCCATTAAAATTCCATAAATACTTTGAACCACCCTTACTGACAATGTATATAGACGCACTAAGCAGAATAATAGGATGAATTTCTCCTTCTGTAAAAATTCATCGCAGAGACCATTCAATTAAATCAGCATCAAACTTGAAAGACCATACAAAATACAAATATTTAACTAAACAAATTTGAGACAAAAATATCCTGCCCATGACATGAATAAATAAAGCAAGCCAATTCATTAAAGGAACCAAAAAAATTGACCTCAATAAAACTTTACTAACACTTGAACTGTTCGAAAAGTCTTTAAAACTAAATTGGGAAAAACTAAATAGAAGTTTGTTTCTGCCATTTATTGAAAGATTTATGGGTGAAATGATGTTTAAATTCCTATTTCAGTTTCTGTTCCAAGAGATAAACAAAATGCGCACTAATGAAGTATTTCTATTTTCTCTAATTAAATAATGGTTTTATGGAGTTCAAAATGGTACTGAAAATAAGGTTTTGTATTAAAAATTTGTGATGATGCTCATCCTCATCATCATAAATTTTTAATTATTCTCATCAAATGATTTAGTTCTATTAATTAAAAACAATCTGAAACCACTAAATATGCATATGTCGAGTTCAAAACATCGATATCATTCAAGTAACAAATATAATGAAAACAAAATTAAAATTTCAGTCCTTCTTTTAAAACCCTTTCTGCAACTGCCGAACCTGAAAACCAAAACTGTGTGATGTGAAAAATATTCTTATAAACTTTTACAACAAATAGTATAAATCACGACAGGCTTTAAAGCAAGCAAATTTTGACAGATAGAACATCAGTTTAGCATTTTTTATGCTGCATTTAAAAAAGCATCCATAATTAGTGGATTAATACATTTTTCTTGCTTTGAAAAATGACTTTATCTCACAAATGGAAATTTTCTTTACCTGCTTGTTTAAAGATCGTATCTGATCATGCAAAAGCTGTAATGATTCGGTATGTTGTTTTTGCATCATAGTTACTTTGATTCGCGCTTGCTGCTTCTGCATAATCATTTCTGCATTCAATTCTGCAATCTGTAAAAAACAACATAACCGAAGAATGAAAATTTTATAACATCATGACGAACCAATTAGATGTATTGAAGAAAAAAATAAAATACATGTGATGACATTTTGGTCAAAAAATATATGGTAATCATTTCATAACACCACCTTTTTATCCCTTTCTAAAATATTTCTATCCTTCTCAGAACACTTTTTTTGAAGCTCTAAAATTTCGTCCTTATATTGCTGAATGACAAAAAAGTGCTCTGCATGAGCATTATCCAATGTTGCTTCCGGAACTGCACTTCGCTGCAAATTTCATTACATTCCATCTTGTGAGTGAAATGGAAATTGTTAACAGCTTTCGCTGAATAATAATTACTTGAAACAAGATGCTCAATTATATTATGAAGCAAAATTACATTCAGAATAAAAAGAGAAAACAAAAAATAAAGTAAAAAAACTAATCAATAGTAAAAAATTAATCTATATCACACAAGTTATTAACTGATAAAATCAAAATTTTTAAAGCCATCCCAGCCATACCTTAGATGTTTTTCCACCTCTGCTTTCTGAAGCATTCGACTTGTTTCGCTTCAAACGAACACTACTTTTTGCTTTTTTCTTATGAAATACAGGTTCCCCAAACATAGCTTTTCTGGACATTGTACATAAGCGACAGTATTGTGGCTTATCCTGTAAGAATTTGATTGTCAATGATATGAGAATATTTTAGCAAATAACTACTGAAAACAGCTAATCATTGCAATGCTCGTAATCCAGTAGACAAAATTGAGATCATGCAAATTTAATGAGATGGAGGCTCACAGCATGCATTGCAATTTTTATATTTCATTAATTCTTACTTGAATTAGACTTTTAGGGGCCCAAAAAAACTAGCAATGCATACATGCAAAAATTTTCATATCATAATTATCAATAAGATTACTTTTTGCAAAGGGTCTCGAACAAAAGCGGATTTTTGAAGACACTGAGAACACTGCACAGGTAATCCATATTTTCTTTCTGCATGACAACACCAAACACATTTGTTAGAGACAAAAGCAGCTTTTAGTTGGCAATACATACAAGTCGTTGGCTATAATAATCAAATTTCAATGTATTGCACTAAACTGTGTTCGAAACGTTTCCGAAAATACATTTTAAAGTGATTGTAAAACATTAGAGTGCAAAAGATGATGAACAGTTCTGAAAATTAAGGAATGCTTTTGAGATTATTTGAATTTGAGAATTAATAGAGCTTACTTTTGTTTTATACTTTTCTTCATTCTTTCTACATTTTTCACACTGTACTTCAGCATCGGTGCTCACTCTAAAATCGACATTTTTTAGCTTTATAAACACATTTTTATTAAAACATATAGAAAACTAAAAATTATATATGAATGCTACATGCGAAAAAAAACTCAAATTTGAGTAGAAAAACTTCAACTACTTTCTAACGCAGACTCCAAATAGACTGACTTCAACTAATGAAAGAAAGTTTATTCAGAAATAACTAACGATGACGATTCAGATACTTCTGCTTTACAATAACAGCATTTCCGAGTCATTTCTTCTTGAGCATTGCAACTTCTTCTTGATTATCTCTTCTACAAAGATGGCGTCAATAACAGGTAAAACCTGCATAAATTTTACTAGAGAAAAATATGCTGCAAAAGATAGTAAATCAAGCACATAAAAATGAAATTTTTATATAAAAATTAAAATTTGATCTACAAAACAAAAACTAGTGCTGTACTTTCTTAATAGTAACAAAAACTGAAAGTACTGAACTCAGAATGAAAAAGAAATAGGCACGAAGTAAAACATTATAATCACTCCATCCATAACTCAATCAAAACGAAGAAAGCACTGAGGACTCAGCTCGCATCACCTATCGAAAATCAAAAAGTATTAATACTTGATTTGAATTTCAAGGTAAAAGCAGGTTTCACATGAACCAGACGTTTCACTTTATTATTCACTGCTTGCGAAGGAATCGCCACCGAATTACAAAGAGTCACATCAATAAGAAATCTACAACAGTTATTTACTTGTCTAATTATAATGTATGATCATTATACCTGGTTTATATTTGTGAGATATAAAATTTCATAACGGAACTGTCGTCTTTTTGTAGGCCGTAGACTTTTACAATCTTAATAATCTAAAGTATTTATGGTTGAGTATATTTTGAAGGTGGGTGTCATGTTGTTTCGGAACGAGTTTATTAATGTTTCAGATACTAGGATATACTCGGAAAGTTTAGTTCCAAGTGGTTTCTTATAATTCTTAACTGAAGAAGGTTTGTAAATTTGTTTCGGAATATTAGTTTTACACTAGAGGTATGTAATTTACTTATTGTTTTAGACAATCAGTCAATAAAAAATGGTTTGCGGGCGAGTGCGCACCAAAACAGTCAAGAAAGCTTCCCGTGTTATTATCGAAAAATATTATACTAAATTGACGCATGATTTTCACACAAATAAGCGAATATGTGAAGAAATTGCAGTTATTCCTAGTAAGAAAATGCGAAATCGTATTGCAGGGTAAGTATCAGTCGCGTATTAATATCACCGCATCGGTCATGTTAGCAATTTTGGTTTAATTTAACTTGGAGTTGTTGATATTGATTTAAAATATAAAAGATGACTTGGAATCAAAAAGGAGGATTTCATGTGAAATGATCTGTGGGAGAATAGAAATATTTCAAATCAGCTAAGAATAAAAATATTTCCAATCATTATCAGTCGTCCTGAAAATTAAAGTTATTTTAGGTACATAACTCATTTGATGAAACGAATTGAAGAAGGTCCAGTTCGCGGTATTTCTATCAAATTGCAAGAAGAGGAAAGAGAGCGTCGCGATAACTACATGCCTGATATTTCTATTGTTGATCCACGGGTATTAACTACAATCGAAGTGGATACCGAGACAAAACAAATGATTGAGTCAATGGTATCAATTTTGATTTTTCCCCAATACCTATTTGATCTATGAATATAATCCTTGCAATAGATGAATCTATATCGAAATTCAAAGGAGTCTACTAATAAGTAGTACCTCTTATTAGGAAATTGTGAAACGAATTCAAATATAAATTTAGGATTTTTTCTAATATACCTGATTGTTTAAATGATTTGTGTGGCTATTGCAGGAATTAAGCATACCGATGACAGATAAAACCGCAAACGCCGGCATCACTGGTCGACGATGATAGTGTTATTATACTTTGTCTGTTTGGAATATATTTATAAACATTTTATTTTCCTTATTTGAAGCTCTTAATAAAGTTGAATTAAGACAAACTTGTCAATGACGAAAGGAATTCACATTTCATTCAGTAATGATACGTATAGTGCGAAAATGTGAGTAATTAGTCAAGTTAAAACTATAGGAGTAGTTTTGAGGACTGGTAATGGTAACTTGGCGGAGCATGTAAATCGCGTTATGAGAATTCTGGGTGTTATCCGGTGCAGTATGTTTAATTATGCATCTGTATCATTTACTTTCATGCATCTTTATCATTTAGAGAAGATAAATTGTTGATGTTCAGGGTTAGTTTGAGATCATTTCTACCTTATATTGTCTGGTGCTGGTTGCAATGTCCTCTGGTCTGCTTATTTTGTTCCCTATTTTTCTGTGTCAAGTATGACTGCAACTGTAAGGGGCATTGTGTTGATAGTTGAGAATGGTAGTGAAGTTGTGGAGCTTTTTTGGTTGATTCCATGTGCTTGAATGGATGATTGGATTTATGACTTCGGAAAGTTATGGAATTAGTTTCCGTGACCTTCGCTTTAATTGTTATAAATTTTAAAGCTTACTGCCAGGAAATGACTGAGGGTAGCAGAGTGAATTTATGATTAACATGAGTCTCTGTTATAAACTTCGTCACGAATTAAATATAATAGTGAATTGAAGTATTCGGATTTAAAATTTTCAGACAGATTTTACTGTCCGTCATGGGAATCTGATCCATCTTACTCCAGAAATACTATTGTTGTCACTGTAAAATCTATTTTGTCTGCTGGCCAAAGTTACGATTTCATTGTACGGTAGTTATATTTGTGGATTTTTAGATAAATGAAATTTTGGATGATAAAGTGATTAATAAAATCAGTCATGATATTTGTTTTTCAATGGAGTGCTGCTGAGGGAGCATAGTTGTTGATGGTAGAGAAATTATGGAAGTACACATCAATCTGTTGCTGAAAAAATTGAAGTTTAAGGTGGATAGGAAAGCTAAAGTGAAAGATCTAAAGCAGTCTTGTCTAGAAGCTATGGGTATAAGGTTCCGAGAGCAAATTCTGTCTTATAATGGCAGGGAGTTGAGGTTTGTTTAGTGGTAATAATGTCATCAAGTACGGTACACTTGGTTACAATAATAATTTCTGCTCTCTGAATCAAGAGATGGTTTTGTAGCTGTGTATTAAACAGGAATGATATCGCAAAACTGAGTGAATATGGGATTAACGCAAATTGCACTGTTTATATGGCACCTAAGCTTCGGTCGGGACTTCAGAGCAACAGATCTTCAACAACTGATATTATCTTTGTATTACCTGGCGTGATGCCTCCTAATGAAAGCAGTGATCTTGATGCACGAGAAGCTATCCACAATTTTCATACTACTTTACCTTTAGCGTAATATCTTATGAATTTCTAGTTTTCACTAATGTGATTCTATCCATTCTTCTGTTGATAACATTTTATTTTATTGTAAATAAATTCTTTACGCAAATTACTGAAAACTTTTTCAAAATTATGAAATTGATTCAGATATCTTTCAGTGGTTTCTTTTACTTCGACAAAGTCTTTGCAAGTATAATGCGGTGATTGCTTCTAAGCTTACATTTCTTCACTTTCTTCAATTGAGATAATCAACTTTTCTAGTTTAACTTTATGTGTAACAGTGGCTTATATATAATATATTCAGACATAGTGATGATAATGATCAGAAAAGTATAGGAACTTCAACAGTAATGAACGGTGTGCAGAAGGAACATGAAAAAACCCGAAAAAGGTTTCGTTTGTAATTTCATTTACATATAATTTCTTTTAATCATCTAATAAGTCCGTTATTAGAATTCTCAGATTAGCTTATTTTTACTAGTTAATTTAACAACCATGGATGGATTTGGAAGAGATTGAATTACTCACGTTCATTCTTAAATAACATACACGCTTGAGTATAGAATATTTTTTTGATGAAACCAAGCTCAAATATTAAGAAGGCTCTGTAGCATACAGTTATTAATAATTTGTTCTTTTTCTTACATGATTTCAAGCAGCGATTAGTTGGTGACGTGGTAATATTAATTATTGGTATATCAATTAATAATGTTTTAACGAGCTGGTAATACTTTTTATTAGTATAGTTTTGAATCAAAAATACCTATGATTATATGATTTTAATGAAGTTGTGATCTTTCACACTTCTTTCTGAATAACTGTAAAAATTTGATTCCAAAAAGTCTTACTTATATATTCCTCTACTTTTTTTGAAAATCAATTATCTACTTTAGAATGAAGCAACTAGTAGAACGGCGACGAAAAGCGCAAGATTTAACGAATTATTCAATTCAATCACCCGTTAAATCGTTCGTTAGTATTTATTTGTGAAGCATCTATTATTTATTTATTTATTAAAACTAAAAAGTAACTCTGTATCTCAGTCCAAGAATTTCTCAGTTCACTGTTTTAGTAATTTGATAAACTATTTAGCAATTAAGTGAGTAAACTGTCAAGTTGTTGAACACAAGTAAAACAAAACTGATGATAATTTTGTACAAACTTTATAGGCAAAATGACACAATTGCCAGCCCAAATGCTACTGAATCCTTGGAAGAAGGCAGCGAATTATTTAATAAAGATTGTATAGCATCACCAAAGACTACAGTAACAAATTGTTCCAGCGATTTATATAGCGATGTAGATCAGGGAAAGTCTCTTGTAACACTTCATGAACTGATGGTGAGTAGAGTATGTCTAGCTCCTTTAATTATATAAGCTTTTTTGTTCATATTAAATTTTTGACAGTTCAAAACTGCAATTTGTATCAGAAACCGCGCCCAGCCGGTACTATATATATTTTAATTTGCATATTCCTGCACCATCTAATACTATAAGTCGACTTTAGAATAAGTATTTTATATTAAAACAGATGTAACTCTTCATGCACATTGTAGAGTTATTTCGATCCACCTGAATGCAAACAAGAAATTGACTTCCAAAAAGATATGCATGATGTACCTGAAAATATGGAACAACTTGCGCAGGTCAGTCAAAACCCAGCCCTTCATTTTGACTTCATATGTTGAGAGATGCTTGTAGCTGTTCAAGATTTCAGATAAAGAAGAGAATTGAGGCCTATAAGCTAAAGCATTGTGATATTTGTAAAAAAAAATTGCGCATTGCTGAACGAACTCAGTTATGTCGCTGCGGGAATACGTACTGTAATGTACATAGGGGACCAGAAAACCATCGATGTACAAATGACTACAGGAAAAAAGATGTACATCGTAGTGCGTCCTTTCCAATTGTTAGAAAGACAAACATCGTAGAAGATGGAAAGAACTAATGATATGAGGAGAGAAATACGTGATTAAGACTAAAAACAAAAAGGCATTTGATGTTTTGCTCTTGTGGCTGTTACCAGTTATTCTAATCTAGTTTTGTTCATTATAAGATTGAGCGGTGAAAAACAATAGTAAATATTTATTTAATTTCCAACTCAATTCTAAAGTTTTGGATGGTTTTTATTTCGAAGTAAATGGTTTGTATGGTTGAATAAGAACATACAAAAAGACAAATATATGTATAATTTTATTCAAAGCACGCACAATTTATTTGCAGTTACAATTTCTTTATATACACGGAAGTTATCAATTATAATATCATTAGAGCAATCCTTTGATAGTGTGGTAAAAGCTGCAAATTTGGTACCCTTAAGTCAAAACTAAGAGCAGCGCAAAGTGGTATTTCATATCGCAAAAGTTCTTTACGATTAATCCGTAATGACGATTCCAAATACTAGAAAGAATTCCTAGTTTGAAAATATTCTTAAAATTGAATTAGACACAAAACAGTTAGATGTAAATGAAGAGTTAAAGGACTAACATTAACGACATCAGAAATACGCATTGATCCAAAGTCAGTAATTTTTGCTGCAATAAGAAGAGCAGCTCCAGCTACTAGCTTCCGGTTCGTTTTACACACTAAACCCTGCAATACCAAATTTGTCAGAGCAATCATCATTATTAGACAAAAAGTGGTTCCTGTGATAACGTTAATAACAGTTTTCAAATGCTCAACATTACATCTGTTAACTGAGAAATAAAAGCATGGGATTTGATCAAACAACTTACCTTAGATTTGGCACGTATAGGAGAAACGTTTTTATATACAAACAAATCTAAAGATTGTGGAAAAAATGCTTTTTCAAATAGCTGTATAAAATGATAGATCCAATAATTTTTATGAAAAAAAACCTTCAGAACAACTTTTTCATAGAAGACGTATGCATGGGCTGTGGTACAATCTTCTAAATCACACGCAACAGCTATCTGATGAAGTTCTCGTTTAATACTGAAACAAAAAAAATAAAATCAATTCTAATGAAAGGTGTCAAAATGGCTACCTGTTAATTTTTGTGAAAGAAACATGCACTTGTGGAAAGCGTAATCTAAATGCCTCATTAACTATGCGCTTCGCTTCCTGTTCTGGATAGCAGTGAACTGACGTACTCTGAAAATTAAAAAATTACTGCTACTGCTACATTAATGAACAAATAATCTGTAATGCTCATGTGAATAGGACCTAAAAGTCTTTAGAAAGCAGAAGACATGCCACGTATCCACTGCATTTCATGACTGTTTTTCGCGCTCCATAGTCTGAGTCGAAATCATTCAGAATATTAGGATTATAATCCATTAAGTTCGTACTAATACTAGAATCATATAATGACCGTAACAACGGATCGTCCACTTCTGTCGCTAAAACATTGATTAATGGCAACTACAACATATATTGAGATGTGGATATTCAGAAGAAGTAGTAAATACCTGTAATCCTGTCCCGAGGTGACATACTCCAACAAGAGAGAGGACATGGAGATGAAATATTCTGAAGAGCTACATAAATAACATTCATGGTATGAATTTCCTGAACCAAACCTAGCACTTAACAACTTACCGAGTTCATTTCATGTTTTCGAATCACTACAGGCAGTTTATCCTCCGAAGAAACAACTTCAGTTTTTGTTGAGATCAATTCACGAAAGCTAATCGCCTTAAAGAAATCATTTAGTCACACATAAGTGAATTTTGAAAGAGGAAACAAGTGCAATTATTTAACCTGAATTTTCTTAAAATTAATTGGTCTGATTGTAGCATAGTCAGATGAGGTAATGCTTAGCCAAACTGGATCGTCACTAAAACTTAATAACACTTGAAATTTATGAGGCAATAAATAAGCAGAAAATTTAAACTGCAGCTAACTAGTACAGTTTGAAAGTGATAGCTAATATATCATATTCTAAAATTAACTTTAAAAAATTATTGAAAATTGCACTCAATCATTCAGAACGAAAACTTTTACTAAGTCATGAGGATATTTTTGATTGTATGTAATAATTTTTGTCTACAATACTGTAAGTGAGAAGATGCAACAAATGGCATTCTCGTCTCGTCAGACTAGAAAGATTATCAATGAAAAGCATAAAATTTAGAAAAGGAAACGAATATAACAAGTTGGGCAAAACTTGAATAAAACTGAATGTAATTTTTGATCAATCTAATTGTAGAAAAAAGAACTAAATAAAATAATACAAAACAGTTCAGTTTAAAATATAAACTGGACTGCTACATTTTCGAATGCATAAATCTATACAGGGAAAAGAATGCAACTAAAACCACGTTCCCATCAATTACTAACAACTTTTAGTAATGGAACGATAAATATAATTGACTAGAGTCATCTGAACGAGTTAAAATGTACAAACTTTCCGTTTATAATTTGACATAATTTGGTCGAATTGGGTCGATTTATCGCTTCTTCTTGACTGAATTTATCACTTCCTGCAAAATTTTAATTTGAAAAATTTAGGCAGAATAAAAGCACTAATAAAATAAAATGACGAGTAATAAAGTGCATAATAATGATAAATACAAATTCCAAAAAAAACGAACAGAACAATCCATGACAAGAAAGGCGAATAATAAGCTATAAATATTTTGCAAAATAATACTGGTGAAATATGAAATTTATGGAAGGATCAGAAATCGAAATATTTTTAAGAAAACCAATTTATTTGGAAAGTTTATGTATGAGTCTAGAGAGGTAGGAGCTAGAAATGGCATAATGTACACTAAAAGCCGAAATATTGAAATACCTTTATTTTCCGTGCATGTTATAACACTGCACATTCCAGGTAATATATCTTTTGATCTAAAATTATTTTTAGTAGTACTTTAAATAACAGAATTTCATTCTACTTTGTAAACGATAAGCAAAAGTTGGTGATATACCTCACTGATCGCTTATCATCTACTACCAGCTTCTTTTTGACATTATCCACAGTGTCTTTTATGGTTACGTTACTACTCCCATATTTTTGTAACACTGTCGATACCTGTAACAGAATGAGCAAGGATAATATCAAGGCGATCAGAAAGAAGAGTTGACTTTAATATACAGAACTTCAAAAATGAAAAACAAAAAAGTTAAAATAGTTCGGTCATCTTACCTGATCTAGCATTTCATCAGTGTTTAATTCTAAACCATGACCTGAAGCAGCACCCAACACTTTGCAATTTCCTAAAAATATAAAAGCCCATCCAAAGTTACAGCCTCACATCTGAAAGTCACACATAACTTTTAAAACATATGTATTAAAAATACATATTTTGAAGTATATACTGAAAAGATATTTTATAGATAAAGAACTACATATGAAACACACTAGAAGTACCTCGACACTCCTGACACTTACGTCCGTAGCATATAGGTGAACAAGAACATCCCTTACAGCCTCCATGTCCCTGAATCGCATCGCCACAAGGTCTAACCATTGTCGAGAGAGAATTTTGCATAAGTACAAGTTCATAGGCACTCCTTTTAGCAGAACTCTTACTCATTTGACAAATCGACCTTAGCTGTTTGTAATTAACTTTTTACGACTGAAACAAGTTGTGCTGACGTCCCTCCAAGAATGGAAATATGCCTCCGACATTGAAACGCTCTTATCACCAATAACTCCAGAATCCATGACTTTATTAGTTAAGCAATCCCTTAGTTATTTGAAAGAAATATACTTCCAATACAACAGCGACCAAACAAACCTAAATAACGCACAAAAAGTAAGAGAACTATTTCCTGACAGCAGTCAAGAGGCTGCCGAAATCTTTATTACTAATAACAACTTTTCATTCAACAATACAAATGGTATTTCCAAAGATCAATGTCAAATGCTGATGAACATTTCAATAACAAGTACGCCATCCTGAAAACAAATATTCTGAGAAGGTACTGCTTGAATACTACTGAGCTCGTTAGTGGTTAACTTCAGTCCATAAGGAATGTAAAATCAGTTGATCTACCGATTATATAATTATTTTCGATGAGGAATGCAGTTAACGTTGATAGTAAATAACTGCAGACATGACTGTACACTTGATATTTTTTTAGTATGGAGCAGTGCCAACAAGAATATCTGCCTAATCTCAAATTCTAAAGAGGATCCAATCATCCGACATCAGAACGATTATGTAGACAATTGAAAATAAAACTTATGAAAATAAATGAAGAAACTGAAGATTAAGCACGACACAAGAGTTTAATATATAAAATAGACTAAGGGATGTGAATAATCCGAAGTGTTTAATTCATTTTTTTAATATATGTTTAACTCATCGACTGTGAGATGAGGAGGAACGCGTTCGTGACCGGGAGCGAGTACGAGATCTGAAAAATAATTGGAATCTACTACATATCAAGTTAATATTTTATGAAGATTTCTAAGAATGATTTGAAAGAAAACTGTTACTATACCTTCTACGTCGTTCGCGCTCCCGACGAGGTGGTGATCGTCTGCAAATAACAGTTATCATAACGCAGTTTGTCCATAATATTTATCATTTCAAAACAACACTGATATGCTATAAAACTTGCTATATAACTTTTCTCAATATTTAGTACGTCCAATAGACATTTGAAGAGAAATTCAAAGCAAGGAAAGTAGCAAAGATTTGAACGTTGAGAGAAGAGAACACCTCTTCGGTGAGTGACTTGAAATATGAGGAACTTTTTGTTGGACGGCTGACCGAAAAATGAATAAAAACCATTTTTAAAAGAACTGCGAATCGTGCTCTACACAGTTCCCACCAATGCACATTTTCTCCATTTTCCAACAACAATATTCCAGAGAGTGCCAAAGACACAAAATAATAGACCATCATCATGAAAACCAATTCACAGCTCGGCTCATCCATTCCAAACAATATGGACGACGGAGGGAGCCGAGCCAACAAACCAGTTATCACCACCAAAGTTTCAACACTATCCATAATGATTCCATAACACACAAAGCAACCAAAGTTTACCGTCATCCAGGCCTATATCAAACTAATTTAATAGATAACCCTACGTATATCCACTTATCCCCAAACAAATGGACCACATAGATTTATGGTGGCGTTCGGTGAAGATTCGGCTTTCTAGAAAATTAATTCCTAGAAAGTTTTCCTCCTCTCATATTTTCGAAGTGGTACATATCATTTACAACCAAAACAAAAATCATGTATCGCTCACCGTCTCTCTCTATCACGACCATATCCTCCGTAACGCCCATAGTCGCCATATCGACTGCCACCATAACCTCCATATCTATATAAATGTCGTTTCATGGCCATATAAAATAATCAAATGGGACAAAAAATTTAGGTAAGGCACTTTTAGATTATTGAAAGAAAAGTTTTGATATCAACTAATACCTTCCGTAGCCACCTCCGCCATAGTAACCACCACCGTATCCACCACCACCAAAACGATAGCGATCATGAGCTCGAACTCGTGGCAATGCAACGGAGACACGTACACGACAATTTCTGATATAGCTGCAAAACTAATGCTATAACGATGAAAAATCTTGAACATCGACCTTGTCAATTCATTTTCACTGATTGCTACTCCAGTTATAAAAAAATCTGCAGAACTTACGTATTATTTAATGCTGCCAACGCCTCATTAGCGTCTGATTTACTTTTGAACACGACAAATGCAAAAAGTGGTGGATAACTAGCAACCCACACTTCTGACAGTTTACCAAATCGCCTGAAATGATGGCAACCATTATACAAAATAGATCTGGATAACTGATTCCCGAATCTAAAAGTAAAAAATAAAGGAAAGAACCAGTCCGGACTGATAAAATATGAAAACCCTTACGAGAACGCCTCTTCTAGATCTCGAGCACGTACTGATTCATCAATGTTTGCTACATGTAGGCGACCTTCTTCGCCTCGGTCAGGTGAATAAGTCTTACTACGACTTCGAGTTTTTGAACGTGTACGACTGCGTGAACGAGACCTAAATAAGTCCTGCTAAGTACAATATCGGACAAATAAGAGCAAATGAAAATAAAGACAAAATGATTTACCGGTCTGAAGAAGAAGAGCTTGAACTAGTCTTTGAAGTCGAACGCTTTCTTGGTGCCATTCCTTCAAACTACATCACATAAATGAAAGCATAAAGAAAATGCAACTCTAATCTGAATATTCATAGCCAAGCACTTTATATGGATGAAGTGACCTCAGATAGTAATGAAAACCTAATTACTAACTGGTCACTAATGATAACCAAAGTCATGTTTAAAAAGGTCACTCCTCTCTTACAGCACGGTTAAACTATTGTTGCAACGCGCTGCGCGCGTCCATCTATGTCTGTTCCTCTAAATTCATCTTTATGTCCCTTTTTCATTTTCCTTACTGACAACTCTCTCATCTAATCTATCAGAATATCATACACTCTTTTCTTTTTCCAATTCTTATGGCTTATTTACGGTCCGTTAATTTTAAACATTAGTCAGTTTGCTATATATGGATTCAATTATGGTGAAGATTGTTGCCGAATAGTTTTTGCAGTAAAGTGATATCGTGCGTTAGTTTACTACGCTTAATTTTGTATGAAGAGAGATCTTATGTCAAATGGAACTCATAATTGAGAGGACAACTATGTATCGACTTTGTATCAGTTATATCACTTTTAGGATCTTGGATTTCAATGATGAAGCACGAAAATGGAGGGTGATCAGGAGGAGCGTACATTTTTGTTTGGCTATCAACACACCCGAGGATATGGTAGCTTATCGAATCCGCAGACTTCTACGAAAGCTTACCGGACTATAGTGCAGCATCACATTGGACCGTATGATACCCTTCAGGGACTAGTATTGAAGTACAATACTTCGGTATAGAATCATTTTGGAAGTTTAATATTTTTTTAGTCAATAGTTGGTTTCATTTAAAGATTTCCTGTAAAAGATGATGAATATTTAAATTAAATGAAGTGTTCAGTTAGAAGGCGTTTTGCCTTTGTTGATTCAGGTCAAGGCCTAACGAAGACATGTCTCTTAGTATTACGAGTGATAATAATACAGTCCTACAACCACTTTGTTTGTAATGACAGAAAAAAAATCATTAAAAAATTGTTCTACTGCTGCCTGCTTGAATGATAAAGTCGTAATCATCTGATGAATAACGTTAAATTAGCAGTGTAACTGTTGATTACTATAGGCCTCCATATCTGCAGAATACTGTCAGAAATATAGTGTACGATGAGAATAAAATTTTGACTGTCTTCTTAACTTTATTCATTACAACTCATACGCAGCATCTTTGTGTCGTCTTCAACCCAATATTTAATATTAAATACCAAATATAATAAATTCCAATCACTCACGCCTCTATCAGCTACATTGTGTATAAGAACTCATTACAGATGAGTGAAATCAAACGCCTGAATCGGTTGTGGTCTAATGAAAGTCTTCACCTTAAGGAATATGTGGATATTCCAATCTATGATGAAGTATCAGAGCAATTTCCTAATTCTGCACGATCTCTCACTATAACGGGTAATTCACTTGACAAAACATCATCAAAGTCAAAAGAAATGGATAGTGAAAGCGTAAATGATATCTTCAAACGTATCGACATGAATATCAGGAAAACTACAGATAATGTATATAAGTTAGCGAAAAGTTCAGTGTAAGTTTAATTGAAAAGATAATTCCTGTACTAATTATTCTTTTATTCTGATAGAATCCGTTTCATTGTGATTGTGTTTTTTATAACTTATCTGTTTACCAGTATTGGTAATATGGTTAATGCTACTCCTAGACACTTGTTAAATTGTATCAACATTCTAATAAAAGAATAACTGACACTTGAAAATCACCACTTCTTACAAATTTAATTTGCTTATTAGAGTTCTTTTCTTTTCCAGACAACACCAAATATGAAGGAAACATCATTCTGATGCATCCATAGTCACTAATCAAATTTCTACATCCTCCATATCTTTCAGGACTTACAATAGTGAGAGCCCGAACTTCGAATTATCAAGAAGCAGACCAGAGGGTAAGGATAATCAATTACGTGATCATCATCCTTTGGCTTATCAAAATGAAGCCTATCAGAACTAATTACCATTGTAAATTTTGTTTCCAACCAAGCAGTTTATGAATCTGTGTTCGTTTCTAGTTTTTGCATTAGTGATGAGTTACATAAGCATCATTTCTCTCACGTAGTTAATAAGATATTAAACAAGACCATTGACTGGAAAATATAATTCAATGTATTATTAAATTTCTATCTGCTTATATCTTCTTATCATGCAACCATAATCCTAATCTGTGAAAATTACTTTGTCAAAATGAACATATATTTTTACCGTTTCCCTCAGATTCTAAAGTCTTTTCAAAGTAATTTTGGAAGCAGATCATAAATTATTGGTTTACTTGCGATGTCTATTCTTGTCTGTAAATAAAAGTGTAATACATTGTTTGGATAACGATCTAATATAAGTTTAACCGGAAAATTTATGCAACCAAAGGATAATGAAATAACATAAGCATTCTCAACAAAAATCGGAAATTGCTTTACTATGCAGCAGCTGTTTCGACAGTTTTCGCCTTAATGGTTTTCTTCTTAGCAGCACGCTCCAAGATTTTTTGATGCAAAGCCTAAATATCTTGAAGAATCAGTTCAAGCAAATTCAGCGACAAAGTATTTTGAGTCATCTAAAAATGCAGTAAGAAGCAACACTCGAAATATGAGTATTCCAAAAGTAGCGATATATACACTGGGAAATGTAATTATAAGTCCAATCAATTCGCACAAAACGTAGCAAACAGTCAAACAATACCTGTATCCTTTTTTCTTTTTCATGTTCCTTTCCGAGGCTTTTACGATTAGCCAAAATTGCAGCACGTTTCACTACAGCAGCATATGGGTTCAGTCTCACCATAATGTGCGTCTTCTTCAATGGGTTGCGATGGACTTTCGCAACCTTGACCGTCTTCCTTCTTGGTCGAACTGCTTTCACAATTTCTTCCGAACGAATTAGTCGTGAGAAGTCAGCATTTGTCATCTTAGCAGTCGGCATAGTAAACTTGGCTTTAACGAGAGATCTTCGTGTCTCCGACCCATATATAGGATCTAATTTGCGAAAAGCAGATTCAGTCCAAATGATCAAACGACCAAGATGACCTCCAGGTGCTACTTTTAGTAAATTAAGATGGTCCACTGGAAGAAGTTGAACACCTGGAATATTCCGGAACGCTTTAACGACACCATTATCTTGATTATACACAACAAGCGGGCCTAGCTTAGCTTTATAACGACGATTCCGTCCTTTGCCTTTACCAGCACGATTGCGCTTTGAATTGTAGACCTAAAACATACCAACAGATTTTTCAGTACATTTCAGTCATCCTTAAAATACGAAAACATAAATTTTTTCTAAATCATACGGCAATGAAATTCGCAATAAAATGTAATGAGAAGTGAATTTTCACTGAATAATTGAAAAATCTAATAGAAAGACACCTTTTCAATATCAGCCCAAAAATGTGAGCGGCGCAAAAACAAAACAGCTTCTTTTGTTTTCTTGAAACTTTCTATTTTATCAGTGACAACAAATGGAATTTCTGGTATCTGATCGATGATATGTCCTCGTGCTTGAATCAAGGCTGGGACACCAGAAGCAGCTATAGCTGAGACCATGGCATAACGTTTTTGTGCAACATTTACACGTCGATGCCAACGTCGAAAAACCTAAAAAAAAGTAGCACAAGTGAATTCTGCAATACAGGAGTCATGAACAAAGCAGTAAAATGAGAGGCACTTTTTCTCATTCACTTTCACTTCTAACTTGGAATATACATATTGCAATAATCGAGCAATTACGCTTCTAAAACTCTTGATGACAATTTTTTCTGATATACATTTAACGTAATCGAAGTCCCAGCATCTACAAACCTTTGTAGGTGCAAACATACGTCCGCCACGACACATATTGCCAAATGCACCTTGTCCAGAACGATGAGTACCACCCCCTCTCACACGAGGAATCCGGGCTACTGCACGACCAGTACCCCATGATTCAGCCGAGGTCTGATGCCCTTAATAAGAGAATGTCATTAATAAATTAATAGCAATCCAACATAAACGTAAAAATTCATGAGCAAGTTAGCAATCCTGATTGCTTCTTTTAATAGTGAGTGAAATAAGTGTGAAAAGTGTGACAGAAACATCTATTCTTTGAGTACAGAACCAGAACGCAGCATCTAAGAAAATTATAAGGGACGAACCAGCCTCGACGGACACAGCATATGGTTGACGTTTATTTTTCCTGATTTGATCATGGACAAAAGAGACAATATCTGGACGCAGTGGAGCACGGAAAACCCCTGGTAACTTGACCTGTGCCTCCGTTGCTTCGATTTTATCGTTGTAGACAGTCACTAATGGACGAGCTGTCATGCTTGCTTAAGAAAAATAAGCAGTCATGTTTCTCGTTACGAACAAATTTTTTCAATACAAATTTAACTGCTATTTTTAGCATAGCATGCTTGAACACTATTCGCTAAATACAGATTACCCTAGCATTAAACAACTACAACGCAACAAAGAACTGATCAAGTTGGAAAGTTTTACAGATAAACTTCTAACTAGAATATAAACCACACCAGAAGCTCCTAATCTAGAAACTTATTGTTACATTATGCTTTTATTTCTGTGATGTCTTCAAGTTCACTGTTTTATATCAAAAGAGGCTTGCTAGCGGTGAATTTTCAATATATAACTAAAATATGAAGTAAAACACATGGTTTACTAATAATACACAAAATAAGCAACTCAGAATCAGTTGTGATTGAAAAAATTAAGTTAAAACCAACTAACTACTCCACAACATTATACCACATATCTACCGTATATCGAGTCGCTTCGAAGGGCCTAAAGCAATATCAAGGATAGAAAGCTGTAAAGGAGTGACAACATTTCGTAAAATTCGTTCCAGCATACTTCGACCTCCAAAATATTTTAGCGGTTTGATTTAAAGCTAAGTTATGGGTGTTTTGTCTGGTGCGTGGGGGTCAGGTATTGATTGGATCACATCATCAAGAAACTCAAATTTGGCAGGTTTCAGGTGAACAGTTTCAGCGAGCAAAAAATCAGATGAAGTAGTGATGGTTTAAGGAGGTGCATTGTGCAATAACTTGAATTATTTCAAATTTTATGGAAGAAATGAAATGAGTGAATTATTGCTGTGAAAGTGGGTAGTGTATAGCAAGATTTGAGTTAGATATATCTAAAGTTTGATTCGTTTCTAGTTGACTATTGGCGAATAAAGAGTAACCGTCGTTTTTGCCATTTTTGCGAGTAGGATGGATGCACTCTCGATGGATTACAAGCCAAGTATGTTGAATTATCACAAACCAGAACTACCTTGTTATTGCATTGATAGCATAGTTTAGTTGTATTTTCTTCAGGTGTAGTTGAAATGAGAATATTGTTGGATATTACTTTCCCAGTGTTTACATTCTTATGTGCATATAGTTGGGAAGTTAATGCACGCCTACATTCTTGTTTTTGAGTAATCTGATTGGTAATTATATCCGATTATGTAGACAGGCTATATATTGCTAGATGAATGCATCCAAGAATTCTGATGCTTCAATACTTAAGTACATTTATTCAGTATTTTATCATTCGCAAAACCTGCGATGGAAAATTATTTGCATAAAAATAAAAGATTTGTGGTTTTGATGAATGCCTTTTCAAATCTACTTACTTTCAGATGCAAAGAAACCTCGATTAGATATTTATGATGAGAACATGGCTACAAATTTTAATCACATTGAACACATAACTCAGTTAAATCAGGATGGCGCGATACTGGGAAAAGCAGCTGACCAAAGCGAGCAGACAATGGAAATATTAAAGGAAAATATATTATTGAGACCTAAGGTACGATCTCCTTAAATAAACATGAATTATTATATCAGAGTGAGCTGGGTTTTTTCATAAATCAAAAATTACCGAAATCAAACTTTCTATTATATAAATAGAATAACGTGTTTTAGTTTCAGCAAGATGAGTCGCAAATACGCCATGTTTGGTTGGCTGATTGTGTTGTTCAGCAAAACTCAACAGTGGAAGGTACTATAAAATAATAAAAATAGTAGAAGCTGAACCAACTGCAAGTGATTGTAGTATTTTGTCTAGAAATAAAAATAAAGAGGAACTCGGTTTTTTATGTTTTTTTCAGTTCATTAAATGAATATTTTAGAAGATGGAATACGGCTATTTAGTGATGGCTCTTTAATAGTCGATCTGAGGAGCCATGCTAATAAAGGAAACATTTCAACTTCTTTTACGAAGGTATGCATTCATATTATATTGCATTTATATTGTAGCCATGAGAAGTTTAGAAGGCATGGAAATATAAGACCATTACCATCAATAGAGAATAAAAAGGATGTAATCAATTTTCTAGAAATTGATGCAGCTTAAATTTTACCTTTAATTTGTAAATTATAAATGGAAATTTTGTTTAGATTATTGCAATAAAATCTTTGCAATCAATTTAAAACCTTTTTTTAGAAAACGCAATAAAATTTTCTATTTGTGATTACTTTTTCTGTCTTGTTTTAAAGTTTATAACTCTCTGAAAGTGTATGATTAGCACACTAAATTATCTTAAAATCATTTTCACTGATAAAAAAGATTTAATTTCAGTGTAATGAATGGGATTTGCCACTACCTACTTCAGATTTTTGCGGTATCCAAAAGTCGTGCCTGACGGAATTGCCTCCGCGTGTGTAACCCTAAATGAGTATAATGGTCTGAATAAAATTGTTTGATAAAGGGCCTTATATTAATTTCTATGTCATGAATGGGAATGAGTGATGAATTCGAAATTTTAATGTTACGTAAACTATATTCATTTTTATTCAATGGGCATTATAATTTTAATTAGTAATATCAGGTATTGATAAGGTAAATGTCCAGAACTGAATGATTTTTCGAATATTATTCATATCTCATATTCATGCGTATTTCTTTATATAATATTGCATAGTATTCAAAAGCCATGTTTAATTCATTTAACCCATCTGCATTATATTTCAGTGAATCATGTCAGGCTTATTCACATAATGATCTCTGTAAAACTTTTTAAAATCTTTTTCTAATTGATGAAGTTATGCACCTATAAGTAGCCTCTCTGGTGTCTTTCATCTTCGATCACGATTATACCGTTATTATCTTGTGCAGTTCTTTTGCATTCACTTTAAAGTTCTCCTTTATCATAAGACTATATGTTATGGATAAGTTATAAGTCGTTTAGGGCTACAATTACACCTCTTTTTTTCCGTATGAAACTCATAATTTACTGTTGCCACAAATACTTTAACAATATTGTCCAGATCTCAGTGTTTCCATAGTAATTTATTTCTACTGTTATATTTTTTAAAATAAAAACTATTGTCTGGTTCTTGTCAATTTATCGCTTATGAGGAGATTTGATGTGCTTAAGATTCATAATTTAGTTTTGTATGAAGTATTTCTGGATAAACTGGAAATAGAGTTGTTCATAATGGTATGATGTGTTTTTACATCATTAATATTAATTAAGTCCTTCACTTTGCATTTGTGCATCAATCTACTCATTACAGTTCTTTTAATTATTTTAGATACTCTTCTCAGTTTTGAAAGCTCTTTGGATTTAGGAATTATTGTCAAATTAATCTGGCAAGAAATGTCGATGTTGGACCAATTGCAAGAGATGGGTTTTCCACTTGATCTTGCGTATGTTTTGCAAGGAAATTTGATTGAACGTTTTTCATTTACCATACATTGAACACATTGAATGGAGGCTCTAAATTGATGTTGATTTAAGAACGAAGGCTCTGGTGGAAACTGGTGAGGTAGGACTGATTGAAGCAGTAGAATGGATCGAAGCTTATCAAAAAAGTGCTGATGTAGTCGAGGCTAAACTTGATGGCGCACTATCCCCTGGTACGAATACGTCACTATTCGCCGGAAACCAGGTGGCCGATAATGTAACTGAAGAATCTGAGGCGGACTCCGTTGCCGAAGAACAGGGATCACGAACGGGATCATCCACAGAACAGCAACAAGCAATGTCATTCAAATGCGATGTGTATGCAAGTTTGATATTTCATTTAAGTTTAGGTTGAATGGTTATTTGATTTAGAAAATAAAAAATATGTATGTGAATCAATTGAAAAAAAATTTTGACTGATGAACAGTTTCAAATGGATTAGTTTTTATCGCTTGCAGTAATAAAAATTACTATTGCTAATCCCTCAATTACAAGAGTATTTTTTGTTTAATTATAAGCCTAATTTTATTGTGATCAGTATTTTATAAATCATTCATCATTTAACTTGAATATTGCGATATTTCAGGTGTGGGAAAAACTTGGCTGATGACCAAGCTGTAATGTTTCATGCTATGCGCACTAATCACGAAGAATTCAGTGAGTCAGCAGAAGTTTTAAAACCATTAACACAAGAAGAAAAGAAAGAGAAATTGGCATCTCTACAACATAAATTAAAGGAAATTAAAGTCAGAAAGGAAGAAGAGGAGAAAAAAGAAGCACTGGAGAAAGTAGTTTTTTTGTGTTACTTACAGTTTCTTTATAGCGATAATTTCGCAGTTACTAAAAAGTATTTTAGGAAAAACGTCGTCGACTAGAAGGCAAATCAATGGCCAAGGTTGAACAAGAAAGAAAAGATTTGGAAATAAAAAAATTGTTAGAGCAGAAGAAGCGCGAGAAGCAGGAAGTTAGAGTTCAATAGCTTTCATTAAAAACTGAGTAAAGTCTAAAATTATAGTGATAACTTTTCAGGAAGCGGAAGCACGCAAACGTGTATTGGAACAAATTCGTTTGGATCGGGAAGCTCGTAAAGCAGCTCAAGAACAGAGGCAGCAACCGCAATCTGCATCGCGCACTGAACGGGTTCAAGAATCTTGTTTCAATGTAGCTAATGAAGTTAGAGATGATAGTTTTTGTCACATCCAAGTTCGGCTCTTTGATGGATCTGTTATTAAGGAGAAGTTCAAAGTGAGTTAATAAAATACATGCAGTCATTATTATCTTCATGATGATAGAACTGGTCAGGAGTATTCTCAATTTCTTCTGTCGTTATAGATCTTGTGCATCTGGAATATAAGTAGAATTATGTGTAATGTTAAGTGCATTAATTTGTCACTATTTAACATTCACCGAATCATTTTTCTGTGTATCATACTTTTGCAGTCGGATGAGCCTTTGTCCCACGTACGTTTATGGGTAGAAATGAATGATAAAAATCTGACAATGAAAGGCACTCCATTTACTCTTATGACCCCATTTCCGCGCAAAATTTTCACGGAGGAAGACATGGAAGCGCCCATCAAAGCACATGGTATGCTTTAATGAGTTTCTGTGGATGCAAAATTTTTTCATTCTTCCATTAAAAGTTATATTTGCAGGGCTAGTACCAACGGCAAATATGGTTGTTACTCGTTTTGTCCCATGAAGTTTCTATTTAGGTATTATATATTACCGACTTCATACCGGAAAAATCAATTCACATTTCCACCATGCAGAAAATGCAGCCTGTCCCATCGAAATGATTTGAAAACAAACACTTCGTTCTATTTTAAAGCATCTTTTTCTCTGCTGTTGTTTGTAAGTGTTTAGTGTTCATAGTGGCTACAAATCACCCATAGTGATTAAAATTTAGTTTTAATGAAAAATTTGCTCGAAAATTTCGAGGCCTGAATACTAATAATTTATAACGATGCGAGCTATTTAAATGAGAAATATGTAGCCGCATAATACTAACGCTGTCCGCTGCAGTAATTGTGTCGCATATTCTTTTTGTGCTGTCGTATCGATATTTGCGAAAATACCGCACTTAACATTAAAAGATTTAGGAACTGAGAATCATTGCTACTATAAATTCTGAACAGAGATTTTGCTGCAACTCAGTGACTGATTTTGGAAATACGTTCATGTATCTTTTATTCTTGTCCTGATTACAACAATGAAGTTTTAAAATAACGTAATTCATATTCTGAAGACGTAAAAACTAGTGTCTGTTTACAAAGAAATGAGAGATGGAAATTACAAATATAAAATGCAAAATGCGACTAAAATCAACTCTGTCCAGAGAATCCTATACACCTGAGACAAAAAATACAGGAATAGTAAACACAAGAAGTGAATCAGTCATCCTGAAATTAGACAACAGAAGTAGACCAGATATTAAACATCATGGTTCATCCAACTTTTCCAAGACAGCCTTCACGCGATTCTTTATCGCACTTTTATATGTTGCCATATCCAAATTTGGAAATCTTTCAGCAATCTGGAAAGCCTGACTACAATATGCATTTGCTAGGTAATTACAGTGATGGTAATAGAAGTCAGGTATTCTCGAAAAAATGACATCTTTGATTTCACAACGTATTACAATAGGCAACATATTTGGTGTAGCCTCAAATATTCTCGAGTAGGTCTATGATTTCTAGATACCAATATATATCCCTAATTCTAATTCGAAACAACTTGATAAAATTTAATATTTCTGGAACTATAAAAGGTTTTTCAGATGAAGTTCCGAGAAAAGTGTAACCAACTTCTTACCCTTTCATACATCTGATTCATTGTACAGTTTGAAAGATCTGTAGAATTAAGTGTATTGCTGATAGCAGCCTCTACTTCTTCATTTGAAGGACCGCCGATCCCCCAACTTTGCTGTTTCTTAAATTTATCAACATAAAAACGAGATATGCATATTCTCACTAGCCTCTTTTCAACATAATTATTTCGATCATGAAAATATACAATATTCACAACTTACAAAAATGGAATACAACACGCTATTTTCAAGCTTTTCCGATTTTTAGCATCAGAGATTTTTAACAGAATCCTCAGCAACTAAAATAATACATAAAACTTGACATAAAAATAAAGACCTCTGTCACACTGGTTTCAGGAGCAGAAGCAAATGACGAATCTGAAATTTCCATTTTTTCCGAATATTGCACTGTTCTTGATTCTGATTCTTTTGTATCCTTACTTGACTCTACTTTTGTTTTACTTTCACTCTCACTCGCTTCTAATTTTGTTTCTTTTGCATTACTTGATGTCGATTTTTTGATTTCTACTGCATCAATGTCCAGGTTAAAACTGCTTCTATTAGCAACGGCATCTTTGCTTGAGTCTTTCAATGACAACTTCTTAACAGTTAATACATTCTTCTCATCTCCTACATATAACAGTTTTTACTATTCATGAAAAAGTAATACAGCGTTCTGATATGAGTATATAAGTTTGCTACAAAAATAAATTAAAGCAAAGAAATGAATACCTTTTCCTATCAGTTTTTTTCTCGTGATTTTTCCCGATGATTTTCTGGACCTCTTTTGTCTTTTGGATGACATAAATTTCCTACCTTTATCTTCAGGTTTTTGTAGAAAACGAAGAATACTCATCACCTAAAACAATATCATATAATTTTAATCTTTCCTGTAATATATATATTAAAATCTGCAATACGAGATGAAATCACAAAAAAAAAGTCAAAATATCCTTACCAAAGCATTCTTCGTGTAGTTCTTGCCTAGACCCAAAATTCTTGCAACTGCAGTCAGCTGGAAATATTAAATATTAGCTTTATAGATACCGAAAATTCAGAAACATAAAAAATACACAACTTGGTATGCATGTACGAATAAGATTCAATATGTCATAAAAACCTATGCATTATCTTCATAGAGAACTTTCCAAAAAATCTAGTAATCCTGCAAACGTGACACTCTTTCTCGGTAAAAAAGTTATTTCTGCATTTACTACTTCCTATAAAGTCACAACTTAAACATCTGAGAATAAACTTGAGAATTAAATTTATGCTTGACAATTTATAACTTTTAATTTTAATTATGAGCAGATAACTGGAAGAATCTATAAGTATTAGAAAAAATGCAACTAAAGCGCACGTAAAAGCGTCTCACTAAAGTTAAAAATTACTTCGTTGTTGGTAATCTTCATTGCTTTTATCTTTTTTTTTTCAAAATCCACACTTTTTTCATCAAATGCAAATCCATTAAATTTCTTCAAATTTCTTCTTCTAGATGTTGTAGTGCCCGGAGAGCCATAACACATGTTATGAAGTCGTTTCAATGTATCATTTCGCGCTTTGGAAATACCAGCTCTTACTGATAATCAAAAAGTAGAAGCAAAATATTTGACTAGAGCAAGTGGTTATATCGGTGTAAAGGGTTATAATTATTGCAATGATACTTATGAAAATATGTAAATCTTAAACATTATTTATATATTTTTTGCGACTGAAATGCTAATGTGTCGCATATCATATGGAAAACCTTAAATTCTTCAAGTAAAAAGATTACCAAATTCGATGTCACCAAGACAAGTCCCTGATCCAACGATTCTAACAGACGACTTTTTGGAATCTAATGAATGAGAAGGATTAATATGAAGTCGATCAACTGCATGACGCTGTCGCTTACCATCCATTATAACCGGTCCATCAAGAAGGCCTACAGATCTCAAAAGCAATTAAAATTTTATAAAATACTACATTATGTTGATTAAAATTAGATTACCAAATTCGAAAAAAACAAAATTTTTTTTCTGTAACATGTTTTTACTACTTTATGCTGGTCAAAATTACGCGACTTACAATGCGAATTTCTAACATTATCAACAACTGAAATGAAACATGCTCATGATCTATCATACAGAAAAATTTCAAATAGACTATAAAAATAAAGGTAACATTTTTTAAGAAGAAACCTTTTCTCAATAATTTCAATTCTTGTTTTTCTGGTTTCTCAGCTTTTTCTGTATCACTGGATACAACGTTTGTTTGACTCCCCTTATCATGTAAGTTCTCTGGAAATGTTACAGAACTCTCGCTTTCTGTTGATACCACTTTATCTTTGCTGTCACACATTTCTTGTACGATAAATTTACTTCTCAATTTTCGTTTTTTGCAACCTAACTTTGTAAATCATTGCGTATTTTAGTCTGAAAAAATAAGTAATTACAATTGTAATTGTTTATCCAAAAATTTTGCAACATCATTTTTTGAATATATGTAAATACTGATAATTTCGAAAAGATAACGCAAGCTAAATCAAAACTCAACTCCATACTTAATTCTGTAATAACTAGAATACAATTAAAAAAGCAAATTGTAAATAACAAATATTACTCACATCATACGCAACCACTTATTTAAGGCATTTAGTACACAGTAATACAAATAACTGCATTACTTTAAGTCTTTTACACCCGTGACCAGTTCAATAATCTAGCAAGTACATAAACCATAACAGAATGTAAGCACGGATTTTCGAGATTAACCCCAGTAGCATCTAATAAATGTCTTTTAATATCATTGCATCTCCCAGCTATTCTACACTGCCACTGCATTTACGGTTTTTTTTTTCTCTGAAATCCTTTCCTCTCTTTCCACAGTACTTAATCGCGCAAGTAAACAAGTCTAGTTCTAGGAGAAACGTAAAATGAAACAAATAATTAAAATTACCTGTGCGCATACAGCCGACTTCAGAAGCATTTACGCAGCCGTGAAGAATTTACCAAGTAAGCTTGTTGCGACGAAATGAAAATTTATGGTTCATGAGACAGATTTTGAAGATATTACCATAAATCTCGATAAGTTAAACTCTTTGATTGTTTCCATGGCTGAAGTTCTTTTTTTTACAGGTATGGATGTACTTCTTCTAATCAAAGCATGTAATTTTGCAGCTGAACGTCATAGTTTACAGAGACGAAAAGATGTACAACAAACACCTTATATCAACCATCTAATTGGTTAGAATCGTTGACCGTTTATTCTTCTCTAAGTAATTTTATGGTATCTGAATATGTTCAATGATTATGAATAACTTACAAGTTCTGATTAGATTTTTAGTGCACAGAGTTAATTATGTGTTAGATTAATGAATTTTGGAATCTTAATCGGTTTCTTGTATTTTTTAATGGTATTATACTTGTCTTCTGAAGCATTTGTATTTGCTTTCTTATTACTTCTCTTTACTTAATGAAAATATATTACATATGTGGTTAGATTTATTTTTCTGATCTTTATTTCTTTTTTAGTTTTTTGCTGCTTATAGTATGCTGTGTTCTGTATTCTGTAAATCGTAGTCTGAGTTCAAGAGCTTTTTTAGGTGTTGCGAATATTTTGACGAGCGAAGGTGGTGTAACAGATTGTGCTACGATAGCAGCAGCGTTACTGCATGATACTATCGAAGATACTGCGACTTCATCTCAGGAAATTGCTGAATTATTTGGAGAAGAGGTCTTAAAGATGATCTATTTTGTTAAGAACTGATTTTGAGTATATTCATAAAATGATATGTACAAAATTTATTCTTTTCACAGATAAGTCAAATTGTTCAAGAATGCTCTGATGACAAAAGCCTATCATCTCAAGTACGAAAACAACTACAAATTGAAAATGCTGCAACGCATTCTTTCAAGGTTAATCTGAAAATATTTCTTTCATGGGACTGGAGATGCCAACCTAGAACTGATATTTTTAAGACATGCATTTTATTGAGATTAATTTCACTTGGAGAAATTTTTTTTAGTGCATAAGAATGTTACAATAAGATTCTTAGATTAGAAATGCTTCGAAAGTTTGACAGGACTGCTCTAAAAATAAGTTTTTAATATAATCGTGCATCTAGACGGTCATTTATAGCACTCTCTATTTTTGTAGAAAAAATCCTACTGAGCAAAATTTTATGTAAATTGGGATGAAAAGAAATTCCATTATATCGCACAAAAATAAAAACGATTATAAGTATTATTCTACTTTGATAGGCAGATCTATGAACTTAGTGCAATAAATATCTTATATCTTACATAGCACAGTAACTTGCTTTGAAACTGACAAGCACTTCAGAGATATTTTGTAACGTAGTTAACAGAATGTATTGAATAAATAAATTTGTTTTAGGCAAAATTAGTTCAGCTGGCGGATAAACTTCATAATTTACGAGATTTAGAACGTGCAACACCTGTTGGATGGAATTCAGCAAGAATAAAAGAATATTTCCTATGGTCAAAATTAGTTGTATCTCAACTGAAGGGAACAAATGAAGTTTTAGAAGCTGCTATCGATGACGTTATTAATAGAAACCTGTGTAAATTTTGATTACTATTTTACAACCATTTCGATTGCTAGCTTGCATTTAAGGCAATTTAAATATAAATGAGAATACTGGATACGAAATATTAACAGCATAATTTGCATTTTATCATAGTCTAAGTTTCCATTTTTTGTTTTTTCTTGTGATAAAGTTCTAACATAAGTAAAGATCCGTAGCGAAATTAAAAACTAGACTGACGAGAAATATTATTTTTTGATAGTCGACGTCTATATAAAAAGAATAACGCTTTGTTTGTTGTTCTGTTGGGTACCTTTGTTTACTTGTTGAAATGCTTATCAGTATATAATCAGTTTAAAGGTAAGATGAATGTCAGAAGGTAAGTTTAGTCACGAAACAAGATTCATAGTGTGGTATGAGGGTATTTTTGTTTCAATCACTAATCCGAAACTAAATATATCAACTGAGAGCATAAGCTCAGAATTATTCAGAAGATAAGTTCAGCCAGCTTGTGGTTTTAAATAAATAAACAATTTTATTGGCTTTTTTTTAAATGCAAAATATGAATTTAGTCTCAAATTGCTTTTGTGAAAATAATCAATTTCACTGTGAAAACAAATCACTAGTTTCTGTAATCGCTTTGACAAACAGCGTGCCCGACCCGTGAAAGTTTCTCAGTCCAGAAAGTATAGCTTGAAATATAAAGGAATTAACGAAGGATGTTATCCGGAATGGAGCCTGGCTTAATTTAATTCAAAAAAAAAACTGTCCTGAACACCGTGAGGACTGATATTGTGAAAGTTCTTTAATGATTTGATGGTCAGTGGTGTATGGCTCTTCATGGTTAGTAGAGTGATTGACTGTGCAGTTAATTCCATGATGATTGCGACTGTTGCCTTTTTTTTTGCAAAAGTCGCCAATTTCTAGTCATTTAATGTGTCTTTTGTTTTTCGCTGGTTTTTTGAATAAACTTCAATTGACTTCATTTTCCTGCATCAAAAAGTGATTATTCTAGGTAAGCTGTGTTGACTCAAAACTGTCCTGGGTTCCATCTGGATATTCTTGAAATTTCAAAGTTGAGGCCTGTCTTTTTGTGCTTTCTATGAAGTCCTCTATTTGATCAGTACTTTATCCTGATATGGTATTTGAAGAGTTTAGGAATCAGATTTAATCAGTATTTAATTTTGATATGATATTTGAAGAGTCAAAGGACGATTTGGGAATCAGAAGATTTATGAAAATATTTGTTTATACTTTGACTTGGATTTTGCACACGTTTTAAGCTACATGAATTAACGAGGAATGATAGTATTCGTCATGTATTTTATGCTTGTATAGGTTTATTATATTTTTAATATTTATAAAGATGTTCTTTGCTTTCACATTTGACCCAGCTATATTATCATATCAAAATCATATTTCTACAGACCTGTCTAAATAGCTCTAAATCACAATGCAAGTTGATCAAAATTTTAGATTATGTAATTACCTTTTTCTGTTTGGTGTAATATCTATCTCTATCCTTCAATATTTATGTCTTATATTTTTGTGCTGCGTTAATAAGCTTTTATTTGATGACAGCGTTGTAAGCAAAGAAAAGCTCGATTGTATTATATGCTCATGGATTAAATGTTACAGCTTGCAAAAAAAATTCGCCTAATTGTACCGTCGTACCAAGCTTTTCTGCTATAATGTGTTCATTTTTATGGGAAAAAGTTGCTTGTATATGATCAATCTTATGTAAACTGAGAAATAATATGTATATAATTTTTATTTCTGGAATATCTGCTCGTGGATGAAGTATTTCAAGCGAATGATTTTACTGTCTTGCAGTTGTTTCTTCTATGTAAGATGAAAACTTGCTATCTAAGTAGTAGTTATGATCTAGATTCTCTGATTCATATTGCATGAAAATGCATCGATATTTTGAATGTTGGAGATGGATCACTTCTTAATACAAATTAGATGTGATTAACGTGTACGTTTTTGCGCTCAAAAATTTTTGTCGTTAAACGACTACATGATTTAAAATCAGTGAGTATTTTAGGAACAAACAGTACTCTCAAAAATTTTAATTTCTTTTGAGTTGTGTCTATGATTCTTGTTAAGATTTAAAAATGTTTTCATCATTTTCTGTATGTTATGCTCACAAATTCAAGGTGGCAGAAGTAATTAACGATTAGTACATACATAGTAATGGAGCAATAAACTACTGATCGAGATATTTCATTATTTCGATTAATGGTGAAAGTTGTTTGAAATCAGCAAAAGAATTGAAAAGTGTACTGAGCGAATTTCATCTTACGTCTGAATTTAACTTTGGAATAGATCGAAGAGACGTGTGAAGCAGCATAGGAAATGAAGTTCTATTCGAGTGTGCCATCTATTTTTAGATGCACTCTTGTCGAAAAACATAGAGTCAGCAGTGTTTTTACTTGAAACAGATTGAAATTCATTTTGAGTAATCGATGTAGGATTAGACGATCTCAAATCAGTTTTTATCGCTTCAACTTGGGACTCATTATAGCGGTATCAGTACTGACAGGGAATTTATAACTTTACAGTGTGTGGAAGGATTAAAAGCGTCAGCCTTTGAAAATTGTCATAAATCATTGATATATTGTTGATAAAGACGTGCTTCAGTGCGAGATTTCTAGGAACTCTATTTTCATGCGTTGTGATCAGGAATAAAACCAACATGATTTAGGACAAAATATTTCGGAAAGTAACTTCAGCAGTGGATTCTAACAGACCAATGTGCTCAATGTGCTCAATGGTTTGCGCTGTAAAATGTGAGTGTTATGTTTATTTATTTAATCGTTTTTAGATGAAAACAGTGCGTAAATTCATGTGAGGAGATGAAGACATCAAATTTCGAAAACTGAACATATTTGTGTCACGTGAACTTCTGGAATCCAATGATTGCATAAACTGAACCAGGAAAAAAGCGAGAATGTGTCGTGTTACCGTAATATATACCTGTTAGCGAAGAGTCACCAAATAAATGCAAAGTACTTAGCGGAGTGTTGGGAAATGTTTCTCTGAAAGTATGCAGGAGATATGGTACACTTATACAGAACAAACAATTAGTTCTAACAAGCAACTTTAAAATGGCTACTTACTGCCTGTATGTTTCATGTCGTAAGCAAAATGAGCAGCAAATCATATTATGTATAATAAATGAATAAATATATAAATATAAATAATATACAAATTAATCAAAGCTTTTTGAAAATTATCCGACAACATATATATATATAAGGTAGTGGATGATGAACAGAGAAGAACCGCATCTGGAAACATAATAGAAAGCAACAGGAAGACAGATGAGGTCGTGAGAAGTTCCACGAAAGTTGTGGTAGAGCACTGCATCGGTGTATCAAAAGCAGACAGCAGTAGAATGATTACTCTCAAAGTCCTCGTACCTGAGCAAATGACCAAGCGAAGTGCTGAGAGCGGTTCAGGAGGATGCTAAGAGAGGGATGACCCTTGTGCAGTTCTCTCAATTACGATTACGAGTTTATGTGTGTTATTAACCTCCAAAACTGAAGAAGCAGGCGACCATTACTGTCGCAAGTCGTTCATGCTCGAAGAACGGTTTTTAGATCGTTAACAAGGCGTGTTAAGACAAAATATGCTACACGAATCTAAGGCTTATCAAGATGTAGCGTAGATACCTGGTGATAATGCAAGAGACCCAGAGATCCGAGATAAACTATCCTCAAAGCAAAGTGGACTCGGAAAATAATTTTGGAGAACGCTGACTCGATTATACTTACAGCGAATCTAACAAAGTCAATTACTGATCTTGCAACGCAACTCCATGGGGCACACCAATGCTTTGAGGATATGGCAAGACGAGAAAAGAAGCCGACGAGATGGAACGCAAGCACAGAAAAGAAGATAAGCTTATTTAACCTCCATAAGAGTCTTATAGAACTGAGATCGGTCCGTGAAAAGCTTGAAAGTAATTACCTATCTGATTCCAAAAAATGTCCTAAATAAGGATAGCGACTTCAAGCCAATAACCTGTATGTTGAACCTCTACAAGCTTTTGTAGTTGATTTTCAGACAGCGCTTTTTAATGAAATTTTTTTAAACTTGAAATCATACCTGAATACTTTGTCGCTGGTTTCTTGCTCACTGCCAGTAGAATTGATTTTCGTAAAACCAAAAGCTATTGTTTGATGAGTTTGAAGAAATTTTATTTGTTGCTACAAATAATATTGTCTTATCAAATGAGCATCTTAGAGCGTGAGAAGTAGAAGTAGTGAATCATGACTCGTTTTTGGTAGTAAAATTACGAGAATCTATGCTTTCCTTTGTTCTAATGTAATATTTCCATAAAATGAATACAAAAGTTTTGTAAAGATAGCATTCCAAGCTTACCTTCCAATTCAGAAGTTCAGCTTTTAGCATCTCTTTACTTAAGGCTTTTACGACATGAGCTGATGCACTTACTTCATATCCACGGAAGATAAACACAGCGCTTTTTTTGTGATAATAGTCGGGTAAGCATAATTCTCTGAATAATTTTTTGCATTTTGAACTTTTCGGTGCATATATTTGATCAATTTTTATTTTTTTGGCATTCTTTACCAATTGTTATTTATTTAAGGCATTTTTTTGCTTAGTTTCCAAGAATGCAAAAACAATAAATTTAGTTTTGTGCATTTACACTTACGTGTGACTATATTTTTAAATCTGAAGAATTAAATTGTAGATAATAGTTACGTAGCATTTCGTTTATCGCATTGAGCAGCAATACAAACGGGCATATCGTAAAAGTTTGATAAGTCGATTACGCTTTTTGCTGCAGAATAACTTTGATCCTCAATTGTCTCATTAGAATTCAGATTGTCGCCACAAATTATCAAAATTAATTTTACTTCCTGCTGAAATCAACAGAAAAGATTTCTACACAAAAAAATAGCTCAGTTTTTATCTCATATTATGAAACACAGTGCTAGCGTAAGTAAAGATTTGACATCTCAGACATACTCTTGTTAGACAAAATTAATAAACTTATCACTTACTTTCAGTTGTATTACTGTAAGACAAGTTAAATTAGAAATTAGCTCATGTCAGTAACTTCTGTGCAAAACTTTGCTACTTGGTTATTTAATTGAAAATTATTGGTTGCAGTAAAAAATTTGGCACGATTAACGACGATACGTTTGGAAAGAAAAATTAGCATTATTACCTTGACGAGAAATAACTGCGTAAGATAAAAGTTTTTTGGTGTTACGTTTTCAATGTCAGTTTTGGATCTCACGCAGATACTCTTCACAAAGACCATGCGCATTTTGTAAAAAATGTTTTGGTATTTTGAAATTTGATTTTTAAAATGTTCGAATTTATGTAGTTTCAAAGAGTTTTTTTCTAACATTCACTGCACAGTTCTCTACGTGATCATACAATAATTTGACTTAAATAAATGTTGCAAAATCCATAATATACAATGAAAATAAATTACCCTCAAATTGAACTGCTTCATTGTGAGGTAGGCTTGTAACAATATATCATTTTTTTCTACGCTAAAAAGGTTTCTGAATTTAAGATCAATAAAGTAACAGAATTGTGAATGAAATTTGCTTAAATCCGAACAAGCTTTTTATGATTTTGATTTATTTTAGTTTTGACTAAATACTTTTCGGTTTTTTCTGTCTGATTTTTGATTACTTGTTATGCATACTTATTAGTTTTTTATTTTTTACATGCTACAACTTATTTAATACAAATCTAGAGTTGTTGTTCTGAAAATCGTCTTAAATACTGGAATTTTATGCAAATTATACTGTTGAATTCTAATCTGTTAAGTAATAGTGACAAAACTGATAAAGAGATTTGTGTATAAGTAAAGTTTGAAACTAATGACATTTGTTCAATAGTGAAAACATCAGCAGGAAAAGCTTCTGAAGGTAAGCATAGCTTGGGAATAATAATGCCATTTTTGAATATTTTCTTTCTTTCTGTGGAAGGAGGTTTGTTATCACAAGTTCCTGAAAAGGTTGAGATCCGGCAAAAATTATTCCACTCCTCATATTTATTTCCTGTTTCAAACAGTACAAAATCACTGATAAAATTATTGATAACATACCTCACAGACACATCAAAATATTCTTTAAAATGTTTGCTAATAAACCTTGAGAAAATCTGTGGATGATTTTCAAGTGATCAAACATAGCAGTAATCATTATCACTTCACATTGTCGACCCAAATTCATTGCAATATCACTGCCGAATATGATTGCTTGATATGGAATCCAATTTCGCTGCTTTAAATTGTACTCAAAAGTTTGTTGCGTTACAAAAGATAACACTTTCTTACAATAAAATTTTTGTTGCAAAAAACTTTCTTCTCTTCAAATGACCTTTAAAAAAACTGTTTAATTTATAATTTATAAGAGTTATATTTTCGAAATGTTTGATAATATTCCAAAAATGATCTTGTAACTGTTTGTACATCAATCTTTCTATCAAAGAAATGCATGATTTTGCACCGCCGATTCAGTTCTGAATTTACTGCCTCGAGGAACACTTCACAGTTTTCTGAGTCTGTTGTCTTTGGGAGCAGTTTACATTTCCTATTTCAAAGTAAATATGCATTTTATGAAAACAACTATGAATATAAAACTAAACTAATAAAATATCAAAGAAGTCAACAATGTGCAATAAATTTTTCAATAGCAAATTATCCTTGAATAAAACCTAATATTTTTCAAATCTTTGGTCTCCAAATGTTTAAAAATCGCGTCTTGCATTGGAGGAGCGGCGAAAACTTTATTAAATAAGCAGAAGTAATAATTTTCAATGCTTTTGTTATATTTTCCATCATTTATTATACCTGAAACTTGTATTATTCTTTTGAATATTTTTATACTTTTAAACAATTTAAGAAAAAGATTTTTGTTAAATTTAAACGTACTAGTGAAGAAAGAATTTTGTGCCGTAATGCAAAAATAAAAGTGAAATGAAACTTAAATTATTTTCGTTAATTAAAATTTGATTAATCATTCTACAAAGTTGCTAGCCTTACTCAGAGAAGTTGTTTTAATCGGTATGCCATGAACTGTATAGAAAATGGATGCGTAATATAACAAAACCAAATTTGTTTTCATTTCTCTATCAAATCTATTTTGAAGTCAGTATCAATATTTTTCTGCAACTATGCAAATTAAATATGCATTGTATTATTGAAACAATTCATTCAAATTATGAGAATTTCATGAAAGTTGTTGCATTGTAATTCAAAATGATTTTGGAGAATCAAGAATACTGTTATCTGATCTGCTAGTTAACAAATGAATGGTTAAATAAACTGATTAAAGAGTTGCAAGCTTATTTCAGCAAATTTTGAAAGAGCACTACGGCTACAAGTCAAATGATAAAAGCATGTCCATGCACATGTGAAGGAAAATCATTCTCCAATATATTCTGCAATGTTCATTTCCAGGAAACTACTTTTATACTTTGCAAGAAAACTGAATACTTCTAATTACGGAAAAATGATAAAGACACACGTTGTACTCTTTGTATAAACATGCTATATGCTAATTATTTAAGAGAACAGATTTAGATGCAAAGTTTTGTTGAATTTGTAATCATGTCTTTGACCGCAAAAATGTCTGAATAAATATACACAGGGAAATATAGACGGTATTTCTCAGCAGCAGATAATGTGGAAAGATTCATGCATGAATTCACATCACACTGAATATTTCTACTACTATATCACACATATTGCCTTACAGCATGAAGAAATTGACTGAAAATCTCCTATGATTCCTACACTTCCAGCGGATTAATCTGAATATCAACTTCTTTATATTACTGCATTGACAGTAAATGATTTCTGATTATAAAAGACTACAGAAGAATTTTTTGCCGCGATTGCCCAAACTTTCTGGAATTCTAGGAAGGATAGATCTCAAAGGAAAATTTGAATTTTGATATGCAAGAAATTAGCTGTCAAATCTATACAGTTTTTAAAAGAAATCTGACAAGTTTATTTCACAGTACTCGACGCTGAGAACGAAAGAGTCTTACTATCAGATTGAAGGAGTAAGCGAGTAGAGAGTATAACTAATCTTTCTGAGATGTCTATTGCTTCCATCATTTGAATTAAATTTCCTGGACGAAACCAAATTATCAAAAATAATAGAAAAATTAATCAAATTCAAAAGCTAAGGGAATTCGTAAGAAATACTATTTCAATGCAGAATTTATATTGGCTTATTAAACTTTTGTAATGAAGAAAGCATGTCTGATTAGTTACTGTATGGGAATGATTGATTTATTCTTATCCTTTTTGATTGAAGTAGTAATTTTGGTACTTTCTCTTAAGTTTTGATTCTTCAGTGATCTATTTTTCCTTCTACTGAAAAGACGCATATTATGCAAAGAATTCGTCAGTTCACACATGCTAATCAACCAAGAACACACGACACGATTCCTTGTTGAGTATTTCGTATTATTTCTTTTCCGATTTGCAACCAAAAAAAATTCTGTTAGGAAGTATTATTGACGACTGCTAGCGAGTGTATTTCGAGCCAAGTATTTGTCTTCAAACTTACTTTAATATTCACTTTACGAAATTACTTATGACTGTTTTCACTTAATGACTTATTTTACGAGTAAACAATTTTTTCAAACATTTTAGAAAAATATAATCTTTTGTGCTCAAATGTATGAAATGATCATATATCATAAATGCTCATTAGGTCATAATTTGACGAACTTTTAAGCTAGAAAGAGTGAGCAGAACAATGTATGCAAAATATATTGTACTGATTTCCTAGTTATAATTGACTACAGTGCCAAAATTAAAGTGAACAAGAAAAACAGTGAACAATACGTAACTTAGCGTTGCATAGTTTAAAATACATACTTGATGACTATTGTAGATGCTAAGCAAAGTAAAATATAAGATGTAGTTGTTAGAGAGGAACGTATAGAAACAACAAGGAGAGCATATCTTGCCAGTGACAAATTGATTCTTATATAGCAAGGCTTCTGAGATAGAAAACAAAAGTTGTTAGAATCTCATTTTGATTTTAGATCAATCAATCACGACTCTGCAGATTGCCATTACTATTCTTGCAATGTCTGTTAAACTTCGAGAATAAGCATTAATGGAGCGTTGTATATGTCCCATCGCCCATCCCACTGGTTAATAATAGTGATGAGTTTGTTCAGCAACATAAAATAAAATTATTAATATAAAATATATCTATAAAATATGGTACTACACAATTTTTTTCTTTATTTGATGCATGAAAAACTTAACCCAAACAATACAATGGTACTGTAAACATTGGCATTGCTAGTGAAGGAGCTCAGAGATTATCTTGAAATTAATTTCAGGGAGAGGAAATCTAATTCTCTGAAGAATGCATGATTTGATTTGCTCACGATTAGATGGGTGAAACTTGTAACAATTATTAGGCAAAAAATACTGATTTACATGTGTTTGCTGCAGATATAGAGTCCAAAATACCATATTTATGAAGTTACAGAAAACATCCACAAATTTTTTACTATTTGTAACATTAGAGAGTTACTTCAATTTGGTAGGCTATAATTTCAATTACAGAAATTTGCATATAGCATTAGAATGTGTAAAATTGCAGCTTGCAAATATATATGTGCAGTGTATACTTAATTTTCATTATATTACAAAGAAAGGCTACTAAGAGTCGCTATGTCACTGGAAATCACATCGGGGGAAAAATTATCCATTGATGTTAATACACTAACAAAGTAAGCGAGAAGAGAATCAGATCTTTGAAAATGCTTTTGTGAATACATAAGCAACAACATCTGTAGCTCCGTTTGTTTGTGTGAACAAAGAAGAACTGATAGAATATGGCTTACTTAATATCTTACTGATTTTCAGAGCAGACAAAATGAAAATTTAAAAACGTTTAAGCAATACAAAATTATTTTTCATCTCGTACAATATTTTTTCAGTACTTTGAACATTTCTCTATTTAAAAACATTCAGCCTAAAACAACAGTTTTTTCATTGGAATTATATAAAAATTTCAGAGAAGATTTACTAATTCTACGTGATGGAAAAGTTGTGATTGAAAGAGGTCTAGTATTACATGGCTGTAAACCAAATCCAAAAATTGGTGACATCATCATTGCAGCTAACAATAAGCAGTTTAAATCAGCTGAGGAATTGACACAAGTTAGTAAAATCACCAAATTTGTTAAATAAACTGCCTTTGCGGATAACAATATTGTGGGAATTACCTACTTCCATTACTCAGAAATACTAACTCAGATAATGCAATACTTTTCCAAATATATCAAATATTGTTACTGTTATGGGACAACTTTTCACAAAATATGGCTATATGTTTATCATTAAGTAGTGATTGTAGTTCTTAATGGAAATGATTCAATCACGTTGTAAACTGACACTCGCAGTAAGTCGTCAGAAGAGTCACGAAGAAGTGGACAATAAAATTGACCGCTATGTGATTGAACTGAAAAAAACTAGTGTAAAGGAATCATTTGGCGTGAGCCCAATTGTTCAACAAAACTATGTATTTTTTCTAGCTCATTACTTCAAATAATATATAAAAGCTTTTGGTTTTCGGAAAAAATGCTTCTCACTTTCGAAGAAATAATTGATTGATTTTGAATATGATCTCTCTAGACTAAATATGATCAGTTTTACTTCAGTTGTGAAGGTTAATTTTTAGAGAGATATTTATACAGGTATTTGTTGCAAAAGTAGATGCACTGGCAGCCGAAGCTGGGGTCAGAGAGAAGGATCATATAAAACGCATAAATAACGAGGCTGTGCAGTCTTTAGAAGATTTTGAACGTTTAGTCAAAGATCAACAAAAAATTGTTTTGTACATTGCTCGTGGCTCAAAAATTGCCATAAACCCTGTAGAATTCGAAACAAAAGTAATACAGTTTTTGATCGGAAAAAAAATCATTAATTCATTTTTATAAAAAAAAAATCCGTGATAGTGGTTGGCAAAATGCTTATTTAGTTCACATAAAGAAATAATGTTAACGAAATACTATGAACTGTTTACAAAGAGTAAATAATTCTGGTATTAGCACCAAGCGAATATATTTATTTTTAATTAAAAGAAAAATTAGAATCGCAAAAATAAAATTACTTGAGATTTTGATATTTAGATGGTATGCCTACACATTCCTTATGAAACTGGGGATCTGCTAGGCATAACGATGAAGAACTTGGTCGTGACGGATATTCAAAGTGGCTCAGTTGGAGAAAATAAATTTGAGGTGACATGAAATTGCATGACCGTATTTGCAAAGACATAATAAGTAACCGAAAGCATACAGAGTTGGAATAATTGGAATGAAATTTGACTTATTTCATTTCGGACTTAAATTCATCACTTAAATTCCACTTTGCTTTGATTTTTTAAGTAACAATGACTTTTAGGGAATGATGCATATAGCAGATTATTGATACTTTTACTTTATAGCTACAAGACAAAATAATGGATTTGAATGGAAGAAAGTTGAGTGATGATCAGCAGTTTTATGATTGGCTACAACGAATAGATGAAGATCTGGAAATTAACGTGATGAGGAAAGTTGCGAAAATGGAGACAGATGGAAAAGCTTGCGAATCCTCGTCATCCACAGCTACCATCAATCGAGTTCTCATCTCACTTTCTGTAAATTAATTTTATCACGTTAAGAATTTTTTATTAATATTATGATGATTCAAATTTGTCTGTAGTTTACAAATTGAAGGAATAGGATGGCTTTTTTCTCAATTAAACTGATGTTTATGAAGACGAATATTATGCATTTTATTCTACAAAACAAGTTTCATTTTAAGATGGCGCCATGTGAAGCCTTAGGTGTGCGCCCGGATGAGAATTTAATGATTTCACGAATTATGGATAAATCACATGCTCAGGGTAAATTTGAATTAGGTGATGTAATCAAGAAGCTGAACGGTATTCCGATCACTGATCGAGAACAATTTTTCAAGCTTTTTGAAGATGCCACATCAGAAGGACGTGTAAATGTAAGACACTTTGGCCTCTGATTTCAAATTCACAAAAAATTGTGAAGCCATTTCAGTCATAACTAATCTGTATTTATAAAAACTGTACCACCTTGCTTAAATATATCGAGTTAACAAATATATATATGTCTTCCAGTTTCTGTTGTTTTATTTTTCGTTTGATTCGAATGTATATTTTCACCTCAATAACTATGTCAAATTTCTGAGATCACAGAAAAAATATGACGAATTCATTTTTAAACGTAATATATTTCTTTTGTGTCATAATTTGTACTAGTTTTCACTGTATGTAGTATTGCATGAGCTGATGAGTACGCAAGCCCCTATCATCATCTCATACAAAATATTATTGAAAAAAAGAAGTGTGCCTAAAACATTTCATGTAAGATCATCGTTGAACGTAGCGCGGAACGTGAACTTGAGTTGGAAAAACGACTTCTACCACCAAATATAGAAAAAATAATCAAACGACACGCGGGATTTGATTATATCGTTGTGAATGTTCGCTATGATTCCAGTGCAGGCCGTCCTTTTGGACTAAATGTAAATTCTTTTCTTCCGAATTTCAGTTCATTTAAATGAAACAGTTATTATGTACCTTGTCATATCTGACTTTTATCTAGAAAAAAGCATAAATTCTGTATGAATTTAGTTGAATTAAGGTTTGATACTCAGATTTATCATATCCTTTATTACTTGTATATTTAAGATAGCGAATGTCACTTCGCACAAAATTATCATTCCGGAATTAGCCGAAAATGCTGTAGCTTCTGATTACTTGAAAGCATACGATCATATCATTGCCATAAATGGTAATCCTGTATCAGATGTTACTGTAGCAAAAAAGATGATACGTGAATGTCGAGCCAATTTTCAGGTAAACAAATTCAGATGTAAATGAGAGTGATAGCAAATTTTATTGATTAAAAGTAATAACTGCTATAAAAACAAAAAAAAAATTTACAAAATATTATTGAGAATGAAGTTTATAAATATGAAATGCATTTAAGGCTGTAGTTGAACGACCGATCACTCTGGAAAGCAATGCAGAAATCAAACGTGAAGTGGATGAGTGGAAAAAGAGAATGGCACGTCCGACCAACCTTGAACAGATGCCACGTGATGTACAAGACATTGTAGAGAAACATGTAGTTTACTCTCCTCTCTTTAATCAATATGTACTACTAATACTTTCATTCAGAAATAATATAACACAAAATTGTTTTGAAAATATTTCAAGAAAAAACATAATACAAATTTTGTGTTTAAGTTCAAAGATCGGAAGTCCAAGAAACCTGTCAGTTTGATTTCGTTGCTTCGAAAATCGGTTGGTAAGCAACGTAAAATTCATTTCTCCGAGCGGCACATTGAAACGCAAATTCAAAGTGACACACCGCCGACAAAACGATTACGATCGTGCCGCTGAATGGAATTCATGCATGAAGCACTCAAATGGAGCAATAACACAAGCACTACTGACAATTTGTAGATAACATATGAATTAAATACTAACAACCAAATCAAACATTACAACAAACAAAATGCTAACGGGAATTACAGTGCTAAATTTGGCAGAATGTGGTGGTGAATGACGTACTACTTAGATATGATATTTTTATATCAAGTCAGATGAGCACAACATCTGAACAGATGATTTTTATGGAATCATAAGAGAAGCACAAATTAATGGAATAATCGGGTGAACTAAGAGCCATCTAATTATTTGTAAAATCTAAAAAAGATTCAGAAAAGTGTCAATTTCACAATTCTGGAAAAGTTTCTAGTGAGCGTCAAAGCCATTTCTTAGAGTATAAATCTTTTAATATTACTTGAAGAACAAGCTGGAAAAAAGTTAAAAAAAATAAATAAAAATTTTGAAATATAAAGAGATGCAATGGGTATTGGCCAATTCAATCTGACTCATAAAGAAGTCAGATTTTTTTTGAAAGAGAGAGAAGCAATTCCGAAACTTGGTGGCTGCTTGTTAATAAAATGAACAAACGGATTTGCATAAATGAAAATGATATACTGATTAAGGAGTCAAAAAGATATAAAATGAGTCAAAAAAACAAAATGAATCGAAAAAATATGAAATGAGTTAAAAAATACGTAATGAAAACGTGTGCAAACCATACTGGTATAATGAAGCAATTAAGAAATATTAAGTTGTTCAGCTCAAAAGCGATTAGAAATAAATGAAGTCATTTCTAATCGCTAGCACATTATCCACGTAATCTTTGCATATTCAGATAAATTAAAACAATGTAGAATATACGGAATTTACAGAATATTTGCTTACATAATGCGTGTGTTCATACCTTAATGAAACGCTGTTTTTGCTTAATTTTCATCCTAACTTTAAACTAGTGGCTTATTTCGATGGTGAAAAGTTAATGCATAGCCGATGAGCTGTTGGAAGTAGTTTT